CAATCGTTCGATGGGCTGAATTGCACAAAACGCATGATCGCACCGGCTAGTCTGGGGCGCGTTGCTATTTATTTCTTTTATTTCTTTCTTTATCTTTTCTTTCAGGTACTGTTATTGTCTAGAGTACTTTGAAAATGTTTATGGCCTGTTTTTTCCACTCATTTTGGTCGTCTTGTAAACTTTTTTCTTTTTGCAGCTATAGCAAATTCATGTGTTTTCATATTGAAACTTCAAATTTACCCCTGGAAAAGCTCCTGTATGTGGCCAACAAGCTGCAAATGCGGCTGTCGAAACAAACAAAAAAGACGTCAGTTCTCTTATTTTCGACATTTTATGATAGCTTTACAGGGGAAAAAGTTGAAATTTTCATAATTTTTTTTTTTTTTTTTTTTGGAGCAATCACTGGCCGTTGTTGGCTTCAGGTATCTCCGCACCCACTGTTTTTTTTTTTTTTGATGGTTTTGAAAGCTCGCGCATGGTTAACTCCTGATACATTTTATACCGATGTTTTCGTTCTGGAGAACCAAAATTGGGTGTTTTTTATAGAATGGAGCATTTTTTCCCCAAACATTGACAAAAGAAAGTTACAAATAACCGCTGTTGGGTCAAAGTCACGCTTGGTATTAGCTTTGGCTGAAGCAATCATAGAAATAGAAATATACTTATAAGTAATGACCATTAGAAAACCGAATCATAAGTGGACGGTCCAAGTGGAGCGGCCAAAGTGGGTTAAATTGATAAATAATTTACAGCCCTTGGTAGGCCGAACCGTGATTTCTGAAGTAAACAGCCAATCCGAAACCGTGGAAAATATGGAACGGCCGTAATCCATGAATTTTAGTGTACGGTAGAATTAGTGAATAAATTATGAAGGGGAAGATAATAGAACTGTTAATGTGATACAAACCGTGTGACATGTTGAAAAGTCATGTAAAGGATGATTTTTCATGTAAGTCATGTAAAAAGTCATGTAAAAGTCATGTAAAAAATGTAAATGTATGTAAAAAATGTAAAAAAAAAAATAAAAAAAAATGTAAAAAAAAATAAAAGTCATGTAAAAAAAAGGCATGTAAAAGTCATAAAGAGTGATTACACCATTCATCATAAATGAGTTTTTTTCGCGGAATTGCTTTGTTTTATGAAAATTTTGCTTCCAGAATTGAACGCAGAGAGGGTATTTTGTTATTGACGAACGCAAGTGGTGTAGTTGTTGCATATGAAAAAGAAGGTTTGTTCATTGCATTGGATATCCCCTAACAAAATTTTTAACTCGAACATTATAGTAATTTATTTTTTTATGCGTTTTATGCTGTGTAACAGCAGTACAAAATTTGCGTATTGTCACGGGGTTGTCTGTGTGTATGTGTGTGTGTATGCATGTGTGTGTGTGTGTGTGTGTGTGTGTGGGTGTGTGTGTGTTCCACATTTTGTGCCACACTTTCAACTCGGAAATCACAAAAGCTAGGAAGCTGAAATTTTAGTATAGTGTTCCTCGCCAACGGATGACGCGGCAAATTTAAATTCACCTTTCCCGTATCTGTGGGTAACAAGTACTGCCTCGTAAAAGTTTTTCGGGTAAAATCATTGTCTCGGGAACCGCGGAGTCTATGAAGCTGAAATTTTAGTGTTGTGACCCCCTGTCCACGAACGACCTTGTAAATTCAAATCCAGCGTTCCCGCACTCTCGGGTATTACCTGTGCGTCCGTGGAAATTCTTGCGGGTAAATTATTGTCTCGGGAACCACAAAACCTAGGAAGCTGGAATTTAAGTATTGTGACCTCTTGCCCACAAGTATTGTGACCCCTTGTAACCCCTTGTAAATTCAAATCCAGCTTCCCCGCACTCTCGGGTATCACCTGTGTGCCCGTGGAAATTCTTTCGGGTAAATTGTTGTCTCGGGAACCACAAAAACTAGGAAGCTGAAATCTTGGGGTAGCGACCCTTTGCTCACATGAGACCTTGCAAATTCAAATTCAGCGTTCCCGCGCCCTTGGATATAATTTACGACCTCGTGAAAATTTTAGCGGGTAAACTATGATCTCGGGAACCGCGGAAAGATACTCACCCTTCAAGGTTTCAAATTCAGCTTTCATGCGCTTTTGCATGGAATTTTTAACTGTTTTTCAACGTTTCAACTATTTTTGCACAGACTAAAAGTACAAAGCAGTGAAAATCATTAATAGGCAATCGTTTGGTGGGATGAATTGCACAAAACGCATGATCGCATCGGCTAGTCTGGTGTGCGTTGCTATTTATTTATTGTGGTCACTGACGAAAGCAGAAGAGCGAATGCTAATTGTGCAAGCGAAAAAGCCAAGCATGCTTCGAGTGTTTCTTTGCAGTCGCACGAATGTTTAGTCTTTTCGCTGAATTAGAAGAACGTCGAATTTCCATGCGACCGAATAAGAAAGTAAAATCCGATGGGTAGGAGTATACTGTCACCGTTGCTGACTGTTGTGGTTCATGGATTATTAATCGCAGTAAAATAGCGACCACTCGGAAATTCCCGTGGAGATGGCATGCATAGATCAAGCGGGCAATAAACACCGCTTGAATTCGTGTAGAACTGAGACATTGTACGTAACTGTTCAAGCGTGGTCAGTAAGCATTGCGGGAAACTTTGCCCTCTTCCCCTCTCCCAGCCGCTGAACCCCTCTCCTAATATTCTGCTACTCACACTTTTTCAGTCCATTCTTTGTTATTTGAAACAGTGTTTAGGATTTTTATCTGGACTTTTTTCAGACAAACTGTACCAAATGTCGGATCTGATGGAGGAGGAAGTTTGTGATGGTAAGCATATGTTCCTATATATTTTTGTGCGTTTTTTGCAGCTATGCAATGCAGAAAAGGCATGTTGATGAGGGGTTGTCTGTGCGTCTGTGTGTCCGTGTGTCTGTGTGTGCGTCTGTCACGCACTTTCATCTCAAGACCCATAAAAGTTGCGGGGCTGAAATTCCGGGAACTTAATCTACGTGCGCGTGCCGGCCCTAATCCCCAAAATGGGCGCCAACACCCCCGTGGTACCCGCATATGGGCGCGCCAAAATTTTTTTGGGGTATATTCATAACTCGGGGATCTGAGAAACTAGAACGCTGAAATCTTGGATTAATGTTCGCCTCCCAAGCGGGTATTAGTGGGCTCAAAACCAGCCT